GTGTGTGTGTGTGTGTGTGTGTGTGTGTGTGTGTGTGTGTGTGTGTTTGAGTTGGACGAGTTACCACGAGCTGTAAAACACAGTAAGAAGCGACCAGTGATCCATTGCTGACGTGTTGTAAAATTACTGACTTTCATGCGAACTTCCTGTAAAAAAAACTATTATTCTGAACCCCATTCCATGATTTCTCTCTACAAAATAACTAGCTATTCTTAATATTAAGAAGCACCCCACCCCCTTTCACTGTGTTCCATTCCTCTCCGGTATTTCGGAATAATATTTAGGACTTCAAAGACTCGAAGATGCAGCCAAGGGTTCACTTCTAATGACTTGCAAAGAAAAATGATTTGTGACCATTTGCCTTTCCACCAACTTCCAACATCGAAAACTAAAACCAGAACCCCGTGAAAAAAGAAGTACCTTCCCCAATATAATGACTCAAGAATTATAAGAGAAACTTTTTTGTTTTTGTTTTCAACTACACTTCTGCATATCTTTTTATTGAAAATATAAATAAAAGCGATGTCCATTTTTCGAAGTATTATTTTTTCAGAGTCCAATTTCCAAAGTCCCAGCTGCTGAAAAAAAATTAGACTGTTAAGGATAATCTATTCTCTAAGTTTTCAGTGATGAACCAATGGCATAAACTTGCATAAAACCTTTTACAAAAAGCTGAGATTAGTAGTAAAGTTTGAGGAGTTTGAGCTAAATGTTCAACTTCAAGTGTCATCTGTGACGTGTCAAGGCTGCTAAACGTGGCAGCAGATTTGACCTACTTTCCAACGGACAGAGGCTCTGCTGCACAACTGCAAACAAATTGCAAATGGCGGACGATATTTTGCCACAACGAAATTACCGGGGCTGACAAATGTCAAGGATAAGAAATAATTCCTTTGTGGACTTGCTTCTTACGTAAGAGGAGAAAATATACAAAAACTATGTCAAATTTGTCTAATTAAATACAAAATTATGCATAGACCACAATGCACTGCGGTTTGCAAATAAAAATTGCAATACATACTTTTTGGGGTCATGCAAATAATCTACCAGGTGCTCATGACCGGACGCAAAATAGAAACCCGTGTTTGATAAGGTACCCCAAAAATGTACTTTTATTTAGGTTCGATCCGACTTTTCTTTTTCATCTTTTGTTTCCAGCAGACGCATAATGGCCAACTTTGAGTCGAGAAGCCGAGATGGGCTGCCAAAATGGCCGACATTGAGCAGAACAGCTAAGTATGATAAAATACAACGAGACAAGACAAAAGATGATGTGTTAGTAGAGAGAAAGTGTCCACTTACTTGATTTCACGGTCTCGTGAGGTGCTGCGTAGGCAGTGGCTGCGATCGTCACAAGAATGACGAGCCCGCACTCCATCCAGCTTACGCGCCTGTCCATATTGTCTAAAAGCTGGACGCTTTGACGTCACAACATGAACTTTTTCCTGGGGAAAGGGTCCTTTGCCCTCCTCACACTGCAGAGCGTTCGCCTGCAGTGATTGGGGTGCTAGATGTTGTCGCAAGTGGTCTTATGGGACTGGCCCTAGCCCGATGTAGGCAGGCAGCGGGTAGATCTTCTCTACTGCTGCCTAGAGAATAAATCCCTTAGTTCACTACGTCGTTACTTGCGCAGTCTTTACGACTGCCAGCAACAGAGTAAGTATGGGCTGATGCTTTAATATAAGGTCTCCCACCTTCCGACCAATCGGAAGCCTCGACACATCTGGGGGTTGTCCCGGGGCGGGGCTTGCTCGTCAGGGGAGGCAACCTGCTTACGTTTTCAAAATGGCGGAGGAAAATTTGTAATTGTTTGCAGCTGACTTCTGTGTACGTTGTGCCTTGCACAAAGTTTTTGTTTTCTTTTTGTTTGGTTTTGGTGTTTTTTTCCCGGGTGGGGGTGGGCGGAGGGGTGTTGTTTGGGTTTGTAGGAGCAGGGGTTTAAGAACAGAAAAAAATGTGAGAGAGTCTCAGGCGGGGGGACGGTGGTGGCGCACGGAGAGAGAGGGAGAGATAGAGAGAGAGAGTGGGAGAGAGAGAGAGAGAGAGA